CAGGAAACGGCGTTCTGTGGGTACACCGGTATCTGACGTCTACTAATCTATGCATATTACTACGAATTTAAGACAACGTCCACTGAGCCAGACGAACTTGTTGTATTTGAGGTTGACTCGAGGAAATGGTCAATCAGGAAAGCGGGCCACGTCTTGTATGTACGAAGTCCGTGCTCTGATTTTCGCGGTTTCTAATTGCGCTGTTTGCAGGACGGGCTGCCAGAACAGAGACACGGTGCCGCGATGGTAGCCGCGACGAACATGCTTCTGATGTACGGAGGAGAGACGACTTCTGGGTGAGTGGTTCAAAAGGATTCATCCGTCTCGTCACCGGCTGATGACTCCTGTTTGCGTTTAGTCGAGTCCTCAGTGACATGTGGAAATTGGCAGGCAGCTTCGATGACTGGCCGGTGTCCGACGCGTGCAGTGGCCCCTATTTTAGCTTGCTGAACTTACACGGCCTGTTCATGACCATAGCATTTGGGTTCGTACTTCCGGCTGGAGCTGTTCTAGGGCTTCATTTCTCGATAAGACATCATACCACGTTTTTCCGTTGGAGAGTGTATCATGGAACTGTGCAGGTATCGATAACATTGGTCAATGTGTACCGTTTTGCTTTGTAAAACGTAATTTTTTTGAAATTAATATTTCATTTTATAACTGATCTCTAAATCACAAACGTGAGGAACAGTGAGGAATACAAAATGGATTTCAGTTAAAATATCTTTCTCTATCAATAAGATGGTGTTTCGAGCTTTGATCAGTAATTGTAATGAACGTTATATCTCGTTAGCCGACGACAGCTTCAGCATTCAGGACAGAATTTGACCTTAACGACTTAAGGGTATATACTCAGTGTAACTCAGTCTGTCATGCAATTGCAGAATTTAGAAATTCTTTCATTTCAGCCTGGGAACGTCAAAGTTGTGTTTTGATAAGCAGGTTTATCCAATAGAAATCGAACCATGCCTTATGTAAATTCTGACTGACGCAGATTATATTGAAAGGGTTATGGAATAAATTTCACTTAACCCGCCTACTCTGCTAGCACGTCATTTAACCATGGCCTTCCGCTAGGAAGACAGCCCATGTGGTGCATGCCTGCACCTTCCTTAGACTCGCTTTGTTTATTGTTGAACAAGAATCTGCTGTGTATTTGAAAGCATGTAGTCAAGTAATTTTTTGTTT